TGTTATCTCTTGTCATTTTTATAAAGGTCCTAGGCCATTGTATCAAGTGTGAGGTAATATCTCTTGAGGTTTTGATTTGCATTTTCTTGATGATTAGCAGCGTTTTATCTACCCGTTGGCCATTTATACTTATTTGTTCTTTTGAGAAATGTCTATTCAGATCTTGTGCCCATTTTTAATCAGTTTTTTTTGCTATTGGATTATATGAGTTTAGTATATTTTTTAGATGTTAATCTCTTATCACATATATGGTTTGAAAATATATTCCCCCAGTTCATAGGTTGCCTTTTCATTTTGTTATATGTTTCCTTTACTGTGAAGAATATTTTTAGCTATGTAGTCCACTTGTTCATTTTTGCTCTTCTTGCCTGAGGTTTTGCTATCAAAATAAAAAAATTATTGCCCTGGTAAATGTCAAGGACATTTTCCCCTAAGTTTTCTTCTAGGAAATTTATGGTTTTAGGTCTCATGTTTTGGTCTTTAATCCATGTTGAGTTGGTTTTTGTGAATGGTTTAAGATGAGTCCAATTTCATTCTTTTGTATGCAGATATCCAATTTTTCCAAAAGCATCTATCAAAGAGACTATCCTTTTTGTATTGTGCATTCTTAGTGACCTTTTCTAAAATTAGTTGACCATTTATGTGTGGGTTTATATCTGTGCTCTCTATTCTTTCTATTCATCTGTATGTTGTTTGTTTATTTTAAAAATTATTTTTAATGGTAGTAAAATACATATGGCGTAAAATTTCCATCTTACCATTTTAAACATATAGTTCAGTAGTACTAAGAACATTCACATTGTTGTGCAACCATCATCATCCATCTCTGGAAGTCTTTTCATCCTGTAAAATTGATACTTTGAAACCACTAAACAATAACTCTTCATTTCCTTCTCACTTTCGGCCTCAGGAAACCACCATTTGCTTTCTGCCTCTATGAACTTGACTACTTTATGTACCTCCTATATGTGGAATTTTTTGCAGTAATGGTGTTTTTGTGACTGGCTTATATCATTTAGCATAATGTCCTCAAGGCTAATCCATGTTGCAGAATATGTCGGAATTTCCTTCCTTTATAAGGTTGAATAATATTATATGTATATTCCACAGTTTTTGTTTATTCATTCTTTTACACATGACACTTGAATTGCTTCCACATTTTTGGTTACTGTGCGATAACAGTGAACTGAGATAGATATTAAAATTATATCTTGCTACACATAAGATATAAAAATGGATGAAGGAAATATATATGACTGTAAAGCAAATAAAAAACACTTTTTTGGTTGGATAAGGATTATTTTTAGTACTTATTTTATTAGAATAAATCAAATAACTTATTTGCAATAATCTTACCTGAGAGATTCCACTTTCACTCTACTTATTGTTTTGTAAATTTCAAACATAGTATCATGACATTCCATGGCCTGTTAGTAGTGAGCAATTATTAATTTTTAATCTATCTTTTTAAATAGAATATTGATTAAAATTTGTTTGTTTTTTGATATATAGCCCATTTAATTTTATTGGTCTTACTTTGTAATAATAAGTCCAAAAAATAAAATCTGTATATATCCTTTCAGGTATGGAAAAACCACCAATTTTCTCCATGCATCAGTTAAATTCAACTTAAACAAAAAAAGAAAATGGCAGGAACACAGACAGAAATTCTAAATTTTCTAAATTTAAGAAAAAATTTTAGTTTTAGATACTGAAGTATCTCAAACATGAAATAGTTTAAAGAGTCAAAGTAGTTACCTACAGGAAGTTAGACTTTGGATTTGTAATGGAAGGGCTCTGGAGCATTGCGTTCCTTTATAAGCCATTTGAATTAAGCACATATAATTATTCAATAGCATTAAAATGGATACAATCAAATTCTTTTAATTAAACAACTCATTCTGGCTACCTGTGAAAGGATAATCATACAGATAAAAATCAACTAGGCCAGCTACTGCACTGGACAGATGGGGAGAAGTGGACACATATCATAGAAATTTGGGAGGTATGGAAACTGTACATAAGAAGAATTTAGGATCCTGAATGCTGGCCATGTCCTCAGGGCCAAACTGGAGGCCCAGCTAGTTTTAGGGAATCATGCAACATATTGAGTGTGAGGAGAGGAACCATAAATTAGGAAAAAGTTGGGAACCAGTGGTCATCATTGAGGCACTTAGATCTTGGTGACTTTAGTAGTACAGGGTATACATCTAACCTTCAGTTGACCCCAATTTAAAACCTAGGTTTGATTTTCCGAATTGAGCACAGTTGGACAAGTAGATTAAACCTAGGTTTATCATTAGGAGAATGGGAATATTTGCTCACTGAATGATCATGAGTATTAAATTATATAATGTATTAATACCAAAATGATAAGCACAGTGTTTGGTTGGCAAAGAGGAAGCTCTGAATGAAAGTTGGTTGGTGTCAGCAGTGGTAAATCACTTCCATCAAGGGTGGGATAAGAGGAGAGTATGAGATAGGACTCTCTAATATTAGGGTTAGCAAGAGACTCAGATAGAATCTTCAGCTTGAAGGTCACTGTCTTTATGATCATCCTTCTAGTCATGTAAGTCACTCACCAGTAGTCATCCCTTGGAAGTGCATGTATAAGAGATTAAGTCTTATCTAGAAGGCATCCAACATTTTTTACTTCCCACATCTCTATCTATACAACTTTATTAGTATTTATTTTATATCTTTTGACAGTAAAATACATCCATCACTTAAATAATTGTGTTATTTAAAATTCAGTTTTATGTGGCATTTCCACTCCATATTTCCTAAAGTACCTAATGAAGTGTCTTATATCTATCAGTACAAAATACAAAAACATGAACAAGTGTTGAATGAATGGAGCTAAGGCAACTGTGTTATATTTGCTGTTTAGTAATTTTTAACCTGAAATATCACAGTAAACTTAAAATCAATAGTTAGCCATGATATAATTCATTATGTTATATTCCCAGTAATTATAAAATGAAAGTGCACTGACACCTACATCACTTGGGGATTGACAGAACCCTTAAAGATTAGTTTTCTCTGTGTGGATTGAACTGTTCAATATTCACTAGAGAATGTGATAATGATCCTTGTTGCTTTGAATTCATATTTGAATCTCTAAAATCTTTAGAGATTTATCCCCAAAGGCAAGTAATGAAATCATGTTGCTGCTATATAATAACAAGAACTTTGAATTCATAAGTGTAAGATGAGTGAATTCTTATTTTGAGAAGTAAGATTTTGCCTTTTTAGAGTGAGTCTGATGTATTCATTATCATCTACCATTTGAGAAAACTTTATTCTCAAGAGTTGTATGTATAGTCACAAGTTATAGTTGAGAACAGGGCAGGTGTAATCTATCAGTCAGCTAGCAAGTAAATTTAGCTGAATCAAATTGAATTTTCACAGTCACTTTAGTGTGAATAGATAGGCATAATTCAATCTATGAAGACTTCTTATTTATCCACTTATAGGAACAGAAACTCACATGGTCATTTAATGTTCTCTAAGCTTGGCACTCAGCCATAATGCTAGCAACTTCACTAACTGTGAGATGCTTTGTGAACTTAACTGTGAGTAAATGTGTTGTGGAAAGACCTGCTTTGTTTATTGTTGTGAATGCTCTAGCATAACAGACAACTGGACACTCTGGACAAAGTTGAAGATATAAAGCCCGGAAACTTGGAGAAGAGACTCAATCTGGCCACTAGCTGGGTTAACTTCGGTAAATTACAAACATTTTAGGCTGAAACTTGATTTAGCTGTGTATTATTTCCAAAATAAGACTATTTCATTCTATAATATCAATACTTCAATTGGAAAACATTGTTACAGTAGGAAATTATTTGATTTGTTTGAATAAATGTACCATAATTATGCTCTAAATATTAATCATATAACATTTGATAGTGATTAGATTGATATATCAAACTTTTGGATATTACAACATTTTAGTTTGAAATATTGAAATGACAATAAATTTATAGTAGGTCACTTCATTCATAAGCATAATGTTAAATTCTGACTTCTTCCTTATCCTTTCAAGAAAATTGTACTTTTCCTTTTAAAAACTAATATACATGGCACATCATATTTTGTGTGACTTTAGTAGTACATGGTACACTATATAACTAATTAGGCATCTCCTTCATACATGATATGTATGTATAAATATACATGGTACACTATATAACTAATTAGGCATGGTACACTATATACATGGTACACTATATACATGGTACACTATATAACTAATTAGGCATCTCCTTCATACAATAATTGCCAGACAGCTGAAATGCTAATCTGTTACCCACTTATTTTCAAGTGTACTAAATTTCATGGCAAGTATGATTCTCTTTCATTTATAACATAGTTTCTGCAGGAATTGACTGCATCCATACTGCCTGGGGTTCATGTGCTGATTCCACCACCTGCTATGTAACCTAAGGTAAGTTACTTTAAATTTTCCAATGCATACTCCCCATGTATAAAATAGAAATTAAAAATACTGAATATTATTTTATAGCAATTAAAAATACACCTATATATATTACTTAATCCTGTGCCAGTAATTTAGTAATCATTCCATAAATGTTAGCTAATATTCACATCTTCATTGCATAATCCTAACTTGATATATTTTAATCTTTTATTGTACTTATGATCCTTTTTTGTAATGTTTATAAATCTTTAGCTTCAAAGTCACTTTAAGTACATTTTATAAAAATAATATAAAAGGATATGCATTATGTGAAGTACGTTTTTTTGTGTTTCTGGTACAAACAAGTTTTAAAATATAGAATGACTCATTACACAAAAATAAACAATGAGACTCTAAATTCAATAAAATACTTTTTAGTCCAAACTTTCCTTCAATAATATATTTGTTCATATTACCTTTCATGTGTTTATTAACAAAAATGCAACCAGCAAATTTATAACTGCTTTAATGTACTAATCTCATCACAGGTTCATTTTGGGGGCAGCTACCTTGTCTCATGGATTCCCTGGTGGACAGGAACCACACTGTCACTGCTGTGACAGAGTTCATTTTATTGGGATTAACAGATGATCCAGTCCTTTGCGTTGTCCTCTTCATGATCATCCTGTGCATCTACCTGGTGACCATATCTGGCAACCTCAGCATAATCATTCTAATTAGAATCTCCTCTCAGCTCCATCATCCTATGTATTTGTTTCTGAGCCACTTGGCTTCTGTTGACATGGGCTACTCATCTTCTGTCACCCCCAACATGCTTGTGAACTTCCTGGTGGAGAGAAATACAATCTCTTACGTTGGATGCACCATTCAGTTTGGTTTAACTGCTTTCTTTGGGACAGTGGAATGCTTCCTTCTGGCTGCCATGGCTTATGACCGCTTTGTGGCAATCTGCAACCCACTGCTTTATTCAACCAAAATGTCCACAAAAGTCTGTTTGCAATTGCTCGTAGTGGCTTACACAGGTGGTTTTCTTAATGCTTCCTCCTTTATCTTTTCCTTCTTTTCTTTATCCTTCTGTGGATCAAATAGAGTCAATCATTTTTTCTGTGATTTCGCTCCTTTAATTGAACTCTCCTGTTTTGATGCCAGTGTCCACACAGCTGTTCCTTCATTTTCTTCTGGTTCCATCCTTATGGTCACTGTGTTTGTCATAGCCATCTCCTACATCTACATCCTCATCACCATCCTGAAGATGCGGTCCACCGAGGGGCGCCACAAGGCCTTCTCCACCTGTATCTCCCACCTCACTGCGGTCACTCTGTTCTACGGGACCATTACATTCATTTATGTGATGCCCAAGTCCAGCTACTCGACTGACCAGAACAAGGTGGTGTCTGTGTTCTACACGGTGGTCATCCCCATGTTGAACCCCCTCATCTACAGTTTGAGGAACAAGGAGATAAAGGGGGCTCTGAAGAGAAAGCTTGGAATAAGACTATTTTCTATTGATTCTTGCTATTGTTGTAGGATTTCATAGAATAATATTTCATAGAAGCCTGTGTATTTTCTTCAGAATACTTAGTTCATATGTAGATATAGATTCAATCCTTTCTGTCTCCACAAGGTTGTAAATTTCATATTGAAGCTCAGTGCCTTTCTTCTTCCCCCATGCATCTAATATTCACAATAATCCCTGGAACATAGTAAGCATAATTGCACATTTGAAATAAAGAGAAAAGAATTAATGAATGGTTGGTTAAATGAATCTTTTGTTCTTTCTTGAAACACTGTCTCTGCTGACTTTGAATCCTGGCCACTGAAATGTTCAATGCTTTCAACTGATTCAAGTGATTGAATGTGACAGGCTTTTGCACAAACTCATACCACATTTACGCTGTTGTCTTGACACTGTTACAACCTAGATTGCAAACTATAGTTCCAGCCTAGTTTACTGAAAGGTTTGTAAACATGCTCTACTGAGTAAGCTTTCCCTTATATATCTGCATATTTGGAGAGTTAGAAGATATAGAAACTAAATATTAGTAACAGTAGCAGTAGCTATGGAAATAGCATTAGCAATAGCAGTTAACATTGAAATTGTTCACTACATTCTGGTCTCTGTCTTAGTGATGTAGATGTACAGTATTATCCTAATTAATCCTGAGTATGGCTTCTTAAAATTTTTTTTCTGTCCTTATAGAGGATGTAACAGAGGCATATACATATTAAGCAATAATTCAAGATCACAAATATACTCTTAATACTTTGATTTCTTTTGAGGCATATATTCTCTGTTGTGTCCATAGTGAGGTGCTTTGAAAACACTTCATGATCTGGGGACTTTTGTTTCTGGGACACCTTCCTTTCTCGGTAACTCTTTCTGTTTAAAGTAACTATAGAGACTTCCATATCTGGATATGGGAGGTTAATTTCTATTACCAATTTTCTGGCACAAAATAAGTAAAAGGCTGGGTAAATGTTTTTAAATGCATGCATTGGATGACCATATGTTCCTTGTTTTTGCTTTTGTTTATGTGGTGAAGTACATTTATTGATTTACATATGTTGAAAAATCCTTGCATTCATGGGATGAGGCCCACTTGGTCAAGGTGGATTATTTTTTATGTGCTGTTGAATTCTGTTTGCTTGTATTTTACTGAGTATTTTTCCTTCTATATTCATAAGGGATATTTGTCTATAGTTTGCTTTTTTTTGTTGTGTTCTTTCCTGGCTTTGGTGTCAAGGTGATACTGGCTTCATAGAGTGAGTTCCGGAGGATTCTCAACTTCTCCACGTTATGGAATACTTTCTGCAGTATGCATACCATCTCTTTGTAGGCCTGGTAAAATTTGGCTGTGAATCCATCTGGTCTGGGTTTTTTGTTGCTGTTGTTGTTGGGATGTTTTCTATTGCTTCAACCTCATTGCTCATTTTTGGTCTCTCAGGATTTCTATTTTTTCCTGATTGAATTTGGTGAGGTTATGTGTTTCCAGGAATACTCTCATTTCCTCTGTTTTTGAGTGCATAGAGATTCTCATAGCATTCACAGATAATATTTTGTATTTCAGTGGTATCAGTTCTAATATCTCTTTATTCATTTCTGATTGAGCTTATTTGGATCCTTTCTCTTCAATTCCTGATTACTCTAGCAAAATGTCTACTGTTTTGTTTATATTTTTAAGGAATCAAGTTTTTGTTTCATTGATATTTTGTATTGATTTTCTTTCAATTTGATTTAGTTCTGCTCTGACAATTGTTATTAGTTTTCTTCTGTTGGCTTTGAGTTTGTTTTGCTCTTCTTTCCTAGTTCCTTGAGTTGCATCATTAGATTTTGAATTTGTGATCATTCTGTCTTTTTGATGTAGGCTTTAAGGCTATGAATTTACCCCTTAAGACTGCTTTTGCTGAACCCCATATTTTGGTATCTTGTGTCCCTTTTGTCATTCAGTTCAAGGAATCATTTGATTTCTGTCTTAATTTCTTTATTGACTCAATAATTGTTCAGCAGCAGGTTGTTTAATTTCCATGACTTTGTGAAGAATTGAGTGTTTCTCTTGGAGTTGATTTCTAGTTTTATTCCATTGTGGTCCTAGAAGATATGTGATATAATCTATATATTTTTTGAATTTGATGAGACATGTTTTGTGTCCTAAGACATGATCAATCTTGGATAATGCTCCATGAGTTGTATGTATATTTAGTAATTTTGGGGTAAAATGTTCTATAAATGTCTGTTATGCCCATTTGTTCTAGAGTCCTGTTGAGGTCAGCATTTCTTTATTTATTTTTCTAGGTTGGATGATATGTACAGTTCTGTCAGTGGGGTGTTGAAGTCCCTTGCAATTACAATGCTGCAGTTTATCTCTTCGCTTAGGTTTAGGAGGGTTTGCTTTATGAATCTGGGAATTCCTGTGTTAGGTGTGTAAGTATTTAGGATTGTTATGTCTTCTCATTGAATTGCTCCCTTTACCATTGTATAATGATGATCTTTATCTTTCCTTACTATTATTGATTTAAAGTCAATTTTATCTGATATGAGAATGGCTTCACCTGCTTTCTTTTGGTTTCCATATGCATGAAATATTTCTTTCCATCCCTTCATCTTGAGGTTGTATGAGTCCTTGTAGGTTAGATGTGTTTCATGGAGATAGTAGATACTTGGTTTGCTTGTTTTCATTCATTCAGGCAGCCTGGGTCTCTTGAGAAAGCATTTGACAAAATTTGGCACCATTTCATGTTATAAGCACTGAACAAATTAGGCATAGAAGTAAAGTATCTCAGGATTATGAAAGCCATATATAACAAACCCACAGCCAACATCATACTGAATGGGGAAAAGTTGAAAGCATTCTCCCTAAGAACTGGAACAAGACAACAGTGCCCACCGTCACTGCTTCTATTTATCATCATGCTGGAAGGTCTATCCAGGGCATTCAGGAAAAGAAAGCTATAAAGAGTATCCAAATTGGGAAAGAGAATGTAAAATTATCATCTTTTGCTGATGATATGATCTTATATATAGAAAACCCCAAAAACTCCAACAAGAGACTCCTGGAATTGATAAATAAATTCAGCAAAGTCTCAGGTTACAACGTCAATGGACACGTATCAATAGCATTCCTGTACACCAATAACAGTCAAGCTCAGAGTCGAATCAAAGATTCCATTCCATTCACTATAGCTACAAAGAAAAGAAAATACCTACAAACATACTTAAATAAAGAGTTGAAATATTTCTACAAAGAGAACTATGAACCACTAAGGAAAGAAATTGCAGGTGATGCAAATAGATAGAAAAGTACATCATGCACATGGATCTGTAGAATCAACATGGTGAAAATGGCCATGCTACCCAAAGTGATTTATAGATTCTATCCAACCCCCATCAAAATACTAATGTCATATTTCACAAATCTAGAAAAAAATAATTCTATTCTTCATTTGTGCCCAGAAAAGAGCCTGAATAGCCAAAGTAATCTTAAGCAAAAAAACAAATCTGGGTGCATCAAATTACCAGAATTCAAACTATATTAGCAGGCTGTAGTAACTCAAATAACATGGTATAGGCATAAAAATAGAGAGATTGAACAATGAAACAGAACAGAGAAACCATCCACATATAAGCAACTGACCTTTGACAAAGCAGACAATAATATACACTGGGGAAAGAATGCCTATTCAATAAATAGTGCTGGGGAAATTGGATAGCCATGTGTAGAAGAATGAAACAGGTTCCATAACTCTCACCACTTATAAGTATTTATTCAAGTTGTATAAAGGACTTAAATGTAAGGCATGACACCATAAGCATTCTAGAAGAAAATTTTGGATGAACTCTTCTAGATAGTGGCCTACACAATGAATTTATGAAGAAGACCCGATGGCAATCACAGTAACAACAAAAATCAGTAAATAGGATTTGATTAAACAAAAAACTTCTGCACACCTAAAGAAATAATCAGCAGAGCAAACAGAGAGCCTACAGAATGGGAGAAAATATTTGCAACCTATATATCCGATAGAGAATTAGTAACCAGTATCTACAAAGAACTCAAGCATATCAGCAAGGAAAAAATAAACCACTTTATTACAAAGTGGGCAAAAACATGAATAGAAGTTTTTCAAAAGAAAACAAAAGGCAAAAGGCCAATAACATATGAAAAAAATGCTCAATGTCACTAATTATCAGGGAAATGCAAATTAAAATCACAATGAGACATCACCTTACCCAGTTAGAATGGCTTTTATTAAAAAGTCCAAAAACAGGTTGGGAAAATGGTGGAGTAAAGGTAACCCCCCGACTCCTGCTCCCAGAGAAAGAGACATAGATCTCGGTCTCCTACACGCAAGTGGATCTCCCACTATAAGGACAGCATCGAGAATCCACAGAGGTTCAGCGTGGGACTCTCTCAAAAAAGGAAAAACAAGGTGATTGGGAGATAAGATTGCGTTCTCTGGAGAGTGCAAAGCAAACAATAGGGTGTGTGGGAGGGTGCTGGCCCACCGGGCCAGGGGGTGAAGTGGGTTCAGACCCACAGGAGAACTCCTTGCTTCCTCATTGACCTCTACACACACCCAGCCAGGGACCTGTCTGAATTTGGTGCAAAATTGTGGCAGAAGAGGATGCTGGAGAGTCCCGTCACTGGTGGAATGCACCGTGAACTCCCCTGAGCCCTGTGCTAGGATGGCTCCAAGATGGAGGAAACGGAACTGAGCTGATAGGGGAGGCAGTTAGATGTCTTGCCTCCGGTCCCTAGCGGGACCAGCCCTACAGAGCTGTTCACTAAGTTGGGGACTCTAGGCTGTAACTGCCTCGGGCGAATAAGACTGCACAGGGCTGGTCAATAAGAGCGAGGCCTATGGCTGAACAGGTGGTCGGGCAGGTAGCATAGAGGAGGCTACGGGGCGTCTTGATGACCCAGACTCCCAACCCGGCACCTGCCACACCCTAAACAGACGTCCCCAGTGCTGGTGCCCTGCGAGTGGGCAAGCGGTCGCCATTGAGGGGGTCCACAGCCCAGCCCTCATATGGTGCGG